GGGGCCGGGCTGGGGCCTGGTAGGGGTGCGGGCTCTGCTAACATGGTGCTGCGCTGTGTTCCCATGCGCTGCTTTGGGCTGTGCTGTGTGGGCACAGCTGGAGCAGCTTGTGCGGCTCCTGCCTGACCCTGACATGTGGCTTGACTCCAGCTCCAAGTCCCTGGCATGTGGCCAGGTCAGGCAGGCACTTCACTAGCTAATCCAGCTGTGTCTTTATGGCCTGAACCAGTATGTGGGAACACAGTGTGGCACTGGTCCAGCCTGGCTGTGTGCTGGGGTCTCAGGGCAGTGGAGGGGGTGCAGGGAGAAGTGGGGAACACAGTGAGACACTGGCCCGGGTAACCTGAAGCTCCTGACCCCCTTTTCCCTGCACACCTTCCCCCACCCTGAGTCCACTGCACGTGACCAGGTCTGTGCCACTCTATGTTCCCCACATGCCACTTCGGGCCATGTGGGTGCAGCTGGTGTGGCTCCTGCCCAATTCAGCCATGTGCTGGGTACTTGGGGGAGAGGAGGGGTACAGGGAGAGCTGCAGGGAGCTTGTGTATGTGTGTCTGCTTGCCTGTGTGCGCGCATGTTTGTCTGCACGTGTGCATGTGTGTGGTCTTCAACAGCTCTATAAAGCTTGGTAAGTCACTCTCCAGCCCCAATAATTGCCCACCCCTGGCCTAATGGCAGGGGCCTGAATCTGCTTTACAGTGCACTGTAATTACTGAGGGCAGTGGATTCTCATGCACCAGCAGCCATAGGGAGCTCTCTCAAAAGAGCACTCTCTCAAGTGAGTGGCATTGCTCTGGCGTTTCGCCCTGCACATGCTGATCACTTAATCTCTCCCAAATAGCATAAGGATTTACAGATTTATTTTTTTTAAGTCAAAGGATCATTAGTGGAGGGTGTTCTCTCTCTCTCTCTGGGGTGTGAGTGTAGCTGGGAGCAGGCTTGATGTCAGATTGTACCCTCCAGATTGTACCGATTGCAGCAGGAGACAGTTGCCTGATGGCAAAACTTGGTGTGTCCCAAAGTATGAAATGGAATAAAGTTGGCCAGATTCTGTCCTCACTTGCATGTGTCTGGCTCCCATGGAAACCAGTGTGGATCTCTCACGTCTGACCAATGCCTGGGTTTGTCCTGTGGATGTGAACAAGGTGGAGCATCCACCTTTGTTGGAAGGAGGCTGTTAATTCTCACCCTTCTGCCAGCCTCTGTGGTACCCTCCCTGATGTGTAGCAAACTGAGAGCAGCTGGTTAGAAGAGATAGAAACCCAGCTAACTGACAGCTGAGTCTGGTTTCTTTGGAGGGAGGAGTGAGAACTTCTCCTGTAAGTAATAAGCAGTTTGCTCTGGGGCTTTCCATGCCAGACGTACTACAGAGAATCCCTTCATTTTCTGTGCCCGTGGAGAGAGTGGTACCAACCTGCATCCCAGGACAAATTGAACGTGGGATGTTTAGAGCGCTTCACATCCCTCTGGTATGACTTTTGGGTCCCATCCATAGTAGACTTGGTGTTTCTGTCCATAAGTATCCCACATGGAGCCATCTAGTATGTGTATGCAACACGGCTGGGGTGGTCGGTCAGTGGCACTCATGCCAGAAGTGACCTGGGCCAGCCTCTGTGTGGCACGTGGCAGATCGGGAAGGGGACAGGATGCACAACGGCAGGTAGGGCAAGGAGCGGAAAGCAGAAATGTTGACTCCCACTGAAATATGGTATCATTTTATTCTGTAGAAATTTTGGAGGGTGAGGAAACCAGGGCTAACACTGCTCAATTTTTACTGTTTGTTTTTTTTTCTTTTGCAGTTTATGGCCTCGAATGGAAACAATGTAGCAAAAGCAAAGCATGAATCTAAAATGCCACCATTTTATTACAAGCCAACATATCTTGACTGTCAGTAAGTAACTAAATATCTTTGTTGGTAAACAGCCTTTATTTGTTTTCTCAGCTGCTGCCTCTAGTTTTTGGATTTTTATTTTTATTTTAAAACCACAGTGGGGTTTCAGTTATAAAAGGCCTGGAGAAGATTTGTTCTTCTGGATTTATCTGGGAGCCTTGTACCGCACATGGAGTTTTATTTAATAACTACAGTTGGATGATGCAGGGGGAATCAATTGCTTGGTCATTCCCTAGATCCTTCAGTAGCTAAAGCTATAAAAATGCCAATTTTTAACTCCTCCATCTTTCTAAATAGTTCTTCTTCAAGAAAACATACTCCAAGATGCTACTCTCTCAACTAGAAATATGCTGTTTTTATTAGTGTCACAGTTAACTCTGTGTGTCCAGGAAATAAGGTTTCGGGCTAGGACAAGTGCGCAGAGGCTCTCCATGGTTGTGTCTGGAGTCACCGTTCACCCGGGGCAGGTCCTGGAGTTGTAGACCTAACCTCCTTGAGCTCCCGCAGTCTGTTCCACATTACATTGCTCTAGCACTGGGAAGGGAAAGA